TAACTTTTGCTGGCACGCGAAACCCTCTCTTATAATCTGCCATTTACAATTTTTTTCTTAGTATCGACTTTTTTATTTTTCAGATAAATTCAGTGTAGCTGCATCTTAGATAAATAATTTTACATAACAAGTTATCTTAAAGACCATGGACATGGATGGACGAGAGAGGGGAAGAGCAATTTCTATGCCTCTGCCTTAACTCTCTCTGCCTTCCTAGATCTGACCAGTGTTTTGGTTTCATCCACATACGCTTGTGAATCTTTGTTCTCAGTGATGAATTTTGTTAAGTCTCGTAATAGGAGTAGCCTGACGGATGAAGTAGTAGCTTGTGCATATCTGAAGGTCACGAAATATAAACTTGATGTAAAATCTCTGTCATCAGTGATGCAGCAGCAAAAGTCCCACTGATAATATCAAACAGAGTCATAAAGTTTTCTGTCGGACTATCCGTGTACATGTATACATGAAAAAATAAATGTATTTTTCATCATCATATACTGTGTGTTTGTTGCTCGAATGAATTTTATTATTTTTTCAAGGTCCTTCACATACGTACACCTTAAGAGATATCAAGTAGGCGTAACACGTTCTCAAAAAATTAGGGTTGGCACGCAGAAGAGTTTTGAGTCAGAGATTTTGCTGGTTTTGGCACTCACACAAAGGTTGCCCACCCCTGCCCTAGAATCTAGGTGAATGGAATGTCCTGTATCTCGGTGGGGGCGGGGCCTGGGTTCCACCGTTGCCAACACTCATCAACCTCCGCACACGTGAAGTGCCTTCCTGTCACTCGGTGAGCATTGCATCTTAATAAAGTTGATTTCCGAAGAAAACAAATGGCCCGGCCGGTGTGGCTCCGTGGCTGAGCCATGAACACGACCCAGGAGGTCAAGGTTCAATTCCCGATCAGGGCACATTCCCCGGGGTGTGGGCTCCGTCCCCAGTGGGGGGCATGCAGGAGACAGCCGATCCATGATTCTCACCAAAGATGTTCCTATCCCTCTCTGCCTCTCCCTTCCTTCCTCTGAAATAAAAATATATATATTTTTAAAAATAACAATAAAGCCAATGAATTGAGGGGAAAGCTGGAAGCAAGAGCAGGGCTCCACTTGCAGGGGGTTCGAGAGCAGGAGAATCTAATCCACAAAGACAGAACTCAGAGTGTGGGGCTCAGGAGTGGGGGCTGGACCGGGGAGGGACAGTCAGACTTTCTGGGGTGACCAGGAGCTTCTGGCTCTTGACCACAGGGATGCACACGGAGCTGCAGTTAGGATGTGTTACATCTTGATGTTTAAAGTACGGTTACGAGGGCCGTGCAACATTATCCGTAAGCCCCCGTGTACTGGGCGTGCCTGGCCCAAAGGGGGTCACGCCGCGGTGCCCACACAGGATGGGCAAAACTGCAAAGCAGCCTTAGCTGGTGTTGCTCAGTGGATAGAGTGTCCGCCTGCAGACTGAAGGGTCCCAGGTTCCATTCCGGTCAAGGGCACATACCCGGTTGTGGGCTTGATTCCCAGTAGGGGATGTGCAGGAGGCAGCCAATTGATGATTCTCTCTCATCATTGATGCTTCTATCTCTCTTTTCCCTCTCCTTTCCTCTCTGAAATCAATAAAATATATATTTTTTTAAAAAAACTGCAAAGCAGGCCCGTGGGCGACGACAGGCACTGAGACTGGCTGTTTTCTCTGATGCGACGGCTGTTTCTTCAAGAAGGATTTTGTGGAAACAGCCCCAAAATTATTTGTCAAGACATGAAGAGGTGGCGATCCTCCCGGTCAGGTCCTGCTCGCAGCCTCGTGCTCCTGAACGCGTGCCCCGCGGAGCAGGGCACCCAGGTGCAGGTTTGAGGCATGAGACGGGCACAGCCCCACAGCTCCTCTGGCCCGGCAGCTCTGGCTCCATTTAGTTCTCAGCCATCATTGCGCCATGGACAGCTCCGGGGCCCGCTGGCACACGCAACACAAGGCCGGGGGCAAGAGGCAGCCCGCCACAAGAAGTGAACATACGAGCTGGGCCGCCCTGCTGCCAGCACTAACATGCCTCCCCCTCCCACCTCCCCCCCCCCCCATAGTCTGTGTGCGGGGAGGCAGCAAGGAGCACCGCACCTTGAGGCTGGACGGGGCCAACTTCTCCCGGGGCGGGGAGTGTTGTGCCCCCAAAACAAGGATTACGGACGCTGTCTACACCATGTCCAGCAACAAACCGGTCGCACCAAGACCCCAGGAAAGAGCTGCGTGATGCTCATGACAGCGCCCCACGCGACAGTGGTACGAGTCCCGCCAGGCACCGCCCCTGGGCCGAAACAGGGGGGCCAAGCGGATTCCTGGGGAGGAAGACCCTTTAAACAAAAAACGAGCAGAGAAAATTCAGAAGAAATATGGGGAAGGAAAAAGCATGCCAGAATCAGCCGTGGTCTAGCTCCAGCAGGCAAGTTCCTGCACGCACGGCCCCAAGACCAGGCCCGTGTGGCCGCAGAAGGCTCTGCTGGAGGGCCAGGAGCTGGGGTTCCAGCTGAGGAGAGTCTAGGCCGGGAGCAGCAAGTAAACCCTTCCTCCTGGCATAGCTCATGTAACACAGGTGTTTATTGTTCATGTAAAGTGGCTTCATCAATGGATAGAGCTTCGGCCTGCGGACTGAAAGGTCCCAGGTTCGATTCCGGTCAAGGCATGTACCTGGGTTGCGGAAACACCCGCAGTAGATGTGCAGGAGGCAGCTGATCGATGTTTCTCTCTCATCAATGTTTCTGACTATCTCTCTCCCTTTCTCTCTGTAAAAAATCAATTAAAAATATATTAAAGTGGCTTCATTTATTTAAAAAAAAAAGAATAAGCGGGAACTATAACAAGCTTTGTAAAGCGCTAGTGAAACCTGGAAATAACCCAAATGTTCGACAACAATGGATCCATTTGAAAGCTGCGGCCCCTCCGTGGGGCGGGATGGGGCGGGACCCAGCTTTGTTGGAGGGCGGATGGTTTCCCAGGGAATTTTCCATTTCTGCTCCAGTTTAAGCTTTGCGTTATGACCCGGCTGCTTCCAACCAGCCCACACCGTTCCTGCGAGCAGGAGACCAGAAACGGGGCGATACGAGGCTGCCACCCTGGAGCGGCACCCCCTCCTCCCTCTGCCTTCACCCACAGACCTCGCGGTCAGCCTGATCTCACCGCGGAGCGTCGCGTGAGGACAGGGAGCCACGCGGGATCGCGCGGCGCGGCGTGGGGGAGAACGGGGCGGGCGCAAGGCGGCGCTCACGGCCTCGGTTTGCAAGGAGATGGAG